TTTAGGGCTTTAGGGGTTTAGGGGTCGGGTGTTGGGGCTTTAGGGGTTTAGGCGTTTTTAGGGGTTTAGGGGTTTAGGCGTTTAGAGGTCTAGGGTTTAGGGTTTAGGGCTTCGGGTTCAGGGGTTTAGGGCTTTGGGTTCATGGGTTTAGGGGTTTAGGGCTTTGGTTTTAGGGTTTAGGGGTTTAGGGGTGTAGGGTTTAGGGTTTAGGGGTTTAGGGGTTTAGGGGTTTAAGGGTCTAAGGGTTTAGGGGCTTTAGGGCTTAAGGTACTGTTCTCTGCAAGTTCCAGCGCTCTCGCATGTAGTCAGCATCTTACACCCCATCGACACCCCTCAATGCCCGTTGACGGTTTAGGGTTTAGGGACATATTCATGAAAACTTACCGTTTTTGTCAGGGACTATCTGCTTTCCTCTGTTTCCTTTCAGGGCTGCCGAGCGGCGGCGGCAGGGCTCACCGGCGTTGCAGTACTCCTCAACCTGAGCAGTACTTAAGAGTCGGTTCTCGGGGGCGAGCTTTGGGGTTTAGGGTTTAGGGGTTTGGGGGTTGAGGGTTTAGGGATTTAGGATTTAGGGTTTAGGGATATGGGGGTTACGGGCATTCCAGGGCTTGGGGCGTTTAAGGTTTAGGCTCATCTCTGGGGGTCTTAAGGCATTGATGGTTTCAGGACTTAGGGGTGGGTATTGAAAACATCTTGTTTGGACAGAGAGTTGCGTGCCCTGAGATTCCGTTCAGGGTTTGGGGTTTCGGGCGCAGGCTGCAATCAAAATCCAGAGTTTTACTCCCTGGCCGCTACACCTGGGTTGCCGAGTTCAGGACGATCTGGGTTTGAAGGGTTCACCTGGGCTTCCTATGACCCACCAGGCCTAACTGCAATTCCTAAACCCTATAAAACCCAGAAACCAATCCTAAACCCGAGATTCGAAATCCTAAACCCTAAACTCGAAACGGGATTGAAACCAACCCTCGACCACCAACCCGAAGCCCCGAGCCTTGCGTCCCCCGTCAAACCTCATCGCATGATCTCCAAACCCAATCCCCAACACCCAAGCCCTATCTGAACCCGAAAGAACCTAACTGTTTTGTGGCACCTTATAAAAATCTCCTGAAATGCTTCCTGAAAAAAGGAAGGCTTTTTTGCGGGTTAAGGGCTTAGCGTTTAGGGCTTCGGGTTCAGGGTCTAGGTCAAGGCAGTAAGGGTACCAGTACCTTCCAGCGATTACCCGAAGGCCGCAGAAGGCAATTTGCCGGGCTGCGGCTTGCAGCTCATGAAGTGCAATCTCCTGCAAGGATGAATAATATAGGGGCCTTAATAATTAGAATACGGTTTTGGGGCCCGTTACACTATAATAAGGAACCCCGAAAATAGTATAGTTAATCATTTAGGCCCCTGCATTAGGGTTCAGCGTTCTACGAGGCTCTTGCTCACAGGGTGAGGATTGGGTGTTCTACGGTTGCAGAAACTCTGTGCGTACCTTTCTGCTGCGTTGCATGGTGCTTTACAAGGTTTTAGAGGGGTTCCGACGGTTCCGAAGGCCCTAAACCCCTAAACCCACACCCTAAACCCTTGAGGGTTCATCTACGGGGTTTCGATCGTCATTGAAGGGTCTAGGCAGAAGGTGGTGGCCAGGGGCTGCCAGGGTTTAGGGTTTAGGGGTTTAGCATTAGGTGCTTGGAGTTTGGGTTTTGGGTTTGGGCTTTGGGTTTACTGTAAGGGCTTCGGGGTTTAGGGGTTGAGGGTTCCAACAATTTTCCACTGTCACGGCTGAGAGTTACCATGTACAGAGCTTTCGATAGGATGCTGCAGACGGCTACATCTTCGATACATGCCAGGAATCATACCTTCGGGCTTGTAGCACCAGGCAGACCAGGCACTAATGACATGATCCTCGGATTGGTCGCATTGGTACCCTCTTATCACTCCGATTTCTGATAAACTCGTCCGGGTCTGTCCTTCTAATGCTGACTTGTTGCCCATGTGATACGGTATTCCCGTACTGTTTCCCTGCTCGGCCACTAGGCCATCGCAACAATGCATGTATGGCTTAGGGTTATCTGGGCCTGGGTTGAGGCAACGGAGTTGTGGAACCCTTTCCGATGCCCATAGGGTTAGGGATGCAGGCTTTAGGGTTTAGAGTTTAGGGTTTAGGGTTAACCCTAAAAGCACGAAACTTTCCGATGCGATCTCTGCCACTTCCAGCAGCTCAGTCACGGCTGCATCTTGCAGGCCAAGCAACTGCGAGCAGGCCTGACCTGAAAGGGGGTTTAGAGGTTTAGGGTGTAGAGGTTTAGGGCTTAGGGGGCTCGCTCAATTCCATTCCACTTGATGCCACCATGACCTCCGGCTTCTCGAAGGGCATGGTTGTGACCCTCTTGCCGACCACCTTGCTGTACTCGATGGTAAACATATCGTCTCCTAAACCCTAAACCCTGAACCCTAAACGCAGCACCCGGAGAAACAGATAAAGACATCTGACCACACAGCCACGACAAGCTGTAGGGGGCACGGCCTTGGGATCTCGCCGCTTCCGAGTGGAGGTGCTAGTGGGCTTGCTTAGGATGGGTTATAGATTTTCACAAGTCTTCACAAACCCCAGACCCCAACCCTGAATCTCTCTTCGGAAGACGGCCACAATCCCCATTTCAGATGTTCGGGAGCTTTTCTTTAACCTCATGTTAATATACCCTAGAGGCTCTAAACCCTAAACGCTTATAGTAATTCAGGTGGGTTCCCCAAACCCCAAACTTGAAGGATTTCAAATGTCTTCCAACAGGTCAGTAGGAGTTAGGATTAGGGGGACTCTAGGGGATATAGACCCTCTCAATAAGGTTACCTTTTAAGAGAGCCAAAAGTAGAGTTAAGAAGGGTCCCCTTTAAGGGGTCTACCTAATACTATTCCAAACCCTAAACCCTAAAACTAAACCCTAAACCCTAAACCCTATAAACCATAAACCCTAAACCCTAAGGTCTCTTCCAACAGGTGAGTCATCTGCTCCTCGGCGTCCGCAGCGTCGGGGCCACGGCGGACGCTCAGAAGAAGCTGCCTGGGCCAAGAGCTTCGGGTTTAGGGTTTACGCTTTAGGGGTTCAGGGGGTTTAGGGTTTAGGGTTTAGGGGGTTTAGGGGTTTAGGGTGCAGGGGTTTAGGGCTTAGGGGGTTTATGGGTTTAGGGATAGGCCCCATGGTAGTTGCTTTTTTGGGATTACCTATTAGAATCCCAAAAACAAGCCACAAGGCACTAGTTTGGGGCCTCTGGGTAATGTTTAGGGGCTCAGGTGGGTTTAGGGTTCAGGGAGTTTGGGGTTCAGGGTTTAGGGGTTTAGGGTTTAGGGGTTTTGGGTTTAGGGGTTTTGGGTTTAGGGGTTCAGGGGTTTGGGGTTTTGGGGTTTTGGGGTTTTGGGTTCAGGACTTAGGAGTTTATGGGTTTATGGGTCTTGGGTTTAGGGGGTTGGGGTTTAGGGGTTTAGGGGTGTAGGGTTTAGGGGTTCCGGGCTTACTTAATTTCCTAATGGTAGTGCGGATGGACTCTCTTGGTTCATGCGGTTTGCTAGTCCAGGGATGACTGTTGGCCTTCGCTGGTTGGTGCCAAGCTTCATCAGCCACTCCTAGCAGTCCTAGCGCGAAACCCTGGCTCCGAAACCGACAGTAAACCCTAAACCCTCACACCCTGGCGGGAATTGCAAGGTAAAGGGCCTGTGCTTCAACAGTCCCGATCTCAACAGGATGGTGCCAGGGTTTGTGTCTCTGGCTTTCGGTGGCAGGGTCTAAGGTTCATCCAGGAAGCCGGGCAGTCGCGAAATCCTGCAGCATGCAGGGCTTTGGGACCAGCGTCACATGTAAAGTCTTCCGTACAAGTACGCCGAGTTTAGAGAGGGTGCTGTTTCTAGTCTCCCCACAACAACATCAAAACCACGAAAAACACCAAACTACCAGAGCCACCAACACGAACAACATAAAATAAACACACAGGAACGGTTCAGGCCGAGGGATCTCGGATGCACTCCGGGAAGCGTTTGGGTTTAGGGTTTCGGGGCCGATTAACCAAACAAACGCCACTAAGCAAACCTAGTTTGACACGACGGTTTAGGGTTTAGGCTTTAGGGTTTGGAGTAAACTGTTCAACATGCCTATCCCACCCCCAAACATGGTCCTGCCCTCCAAACCACACGCATCGAACACCAGACCCTCGAATCATCCCGAGCCAGAGACGCCCCCGTTACTCCCCCGCAACCCCTGAAGCCCTAATGTAGGGGTCTTGATAATTAGAATAGGGTTTTTGGGTACATTATACTATAGTTAAAGTAAGGAACCCCCCAAAATAGCATAGGTGATTATTAATGGCCCTATATTTCTCCCCCACAACCCCTGAACCCCTACAGGAAAAAACAATGCAGACCCGCAATCATCACACCACCTTCTATGATTGTCTCTCATTGTGAGGATCCTTTGTATCTACTTCGTATACATGGAAGGAGGTTTATTCGACAGCGGCTGGAAGCCCCCAAAGAGATGTACACCCTTGTTTCAGGGCTATACTCGAGATTGTACCACCGTTCATGTTATGATTGCAGGTATATTCCTGAAGCAAGGAGTGTTGGGCTGTGCGGGTGCAAAGTTGCACTCTAACAACTGTACGGCGTGTGCCGTGCACGGGTTTGGGTGGTCTTAAGTCTTGACTCTTGGTTGTATGGAGCTGTATGAGTCAGAAGCCAACTTCGTCATCTATCTACACACGCGTGCAACCGCTTGAAGCCTTGCGACACCTTACACAGTCATGTAAGCCGCAAAGCCCTAAGGGCCATGCGGCGATAAAATCATAGTTCCAACCGAGACCCTAAACCCTAAACCTAGTCTGTAAACCTGCCCAAAAACTAAAGCCTAAACGCCAACTCTAAATCCTGCCCTACAGCCTCAGCTCTAGAGCCTCAGCCCCAAACACGCCTGATCCCTTATCCAACCCAGTCCTTGCGAGAGCAGAACATCGCGCACAGAGCAGGTCGTCCATCCCGGCCGCCACGGCCACTCTCCTTCAGGTTTAAGGTTCAAGGTTTTGGGTGGTTTTTTAATGTGTAGTGGCCCTCTTTCTGTCGAAGCGACGCCTGCCCACTGGGCTTACACATACTGAAACAGACCTAGGGAGGCGGACATGTTCTTGGGTTGAGGTTTAGGGTTTAGGGCGTTTCAGGTTTAAGGCTTTAGATCAAAAGGGCTTCAAAGGAGACGAGGGAAGTCGTGGTAATCGCGACTATCCCAACTCAGCGTCCTGCTGTTGATGATATACATCCTGCATTACCTTAAGGACGCTAGACTATAGGAATTATGGTATAGTGCTTTTTGTTGGTTAATACAGGATGTGTATCATCAACCGTGATATGCAAGACCCTTGATCACCTTGTCAGGGCCCCGACGAAAGGGCTTTATGGCTACACACAAAGTTCATCCCCAGAGGGTCTAGGGTTTTAAGGTTTAGGGTTTATAGGGCTTAGGGTTTTCGGTATTGAAGCGGCTTTGGCGGGTTGTCGTAGGGTTTCGTCGTGTTTCCGGCTTCGACTTTCCAAGAGGAAGTGTGCGAGGTTGAGGGTACAAGGCTATTTCGTTTCCGGCTTGGGGTTACAGGTTCAGGGAGGAGTCAAAAACTCAAAAGGTTCTCTTGGCTGGAACGGTTCTGCTGGCCGTTCTAGGCTTGTCGTAAGGCGTCCAAGGCTCCATCCAACATGCTAAAAAAAGAAGGCTTTAAATCTATGAAACACATGTCCTCTCTCGGGGGTATCCTTAAGTCGTGGGCGTTGAACTTTCTTTGCTCGCGGGGTGTAACAGCTCGGGATGTTCAGGAAGGCGTTTCAAGATTTAGGACTATGGTGGCCGTGACCTGAATTGAGATATTATAATATGCTGTGTTGAGCGAGTTGTGTTGAGCTCTGTGCATGCGTGTGTGTGTGTGTGTGTTGAACTGTGATGTTGATGTGATGTCACTGTGATGTGCTTGCTCCAGTTCGAGTCTGAGCCCTGCGGCAGGTCTTCAACCTGCTTCTGCAATCGAACCACCTGGGCCTTCGATTGCTCAAGCTGGGACGTCAACTCGTCGATCTGCTCCCGAAGCTTGTTTCCAGAGCGGTGTGTGTTTTTTCGAAAAAACACAGTGTGTGTTTGTTCGAAAAAACACACACCGAATCTTGTTGCCAGAGAGGCTATGCCCGCTCTCTGCTCAGCATCCTTCAGCTGAGCCTTGAGCCGGACCACCTGCCTGCTCGGGTCTGCCGCCTTCTCACTGCTGCCCTGCCCT